GTTTATCCAAGAAGCTTAGGATCTATAATTGCATTTTTTCCCTTCCCCCCTCTGGGTGAGGAACAGAGGATAAAAGGGGCTTTGAAAAAAATCCTTGCAAATGGGAGCAGGGAGTGATGTTTACGGAGATGCAGGAGATTTCCCAGTGAGTTTTAAAAAGCTTCGCTCTGTTTAAAACTCAGCCGGCTTGTCCAGCCTTAATCCCTGCTCCTGGAGTGCTGTCTCCAGCAGGCAAACCCCCAGCCAGGATCCCCTATCTGCCCAGGGACATCTTTCAGCAGGGACAAAAATTCTTTTCCCACACTGGGAGGCCCTAATGAGGGATTTTTTTTCCCCCCACTGGGATAGCTGGGAATGGGAATCAGGCCACAGGTCACTGGAAATGCCTGCGGGCTTTGGCAAGTGATGGCACAAAGGTCAGGCAGGAGCAGCCCAACCCTCCCTTAAGGGTTCAGGTCCACAGGTTTTGACCTGGGAATTCCTTTTTCCCTGAGTCCAGGTCCCTGAGTGCCGTTCCTTGCTAATGGAAAACAAACTGAAATTGCAATTATACCCTCAGGCCTCGTGACTGGCTCTCTTCTGGGCCACCAGCTTTTCCCAGAGTCCATGGGCAATGAAGTCTGTCCCAGCTGGAAAAAAATCCTTCTTTCAAGCCAAAACTTGAATTCCCTTTCTTTTTTCTTTGTAACACACGCACAGAATTGATCCACGCATGGAAACAGGGTGTAACCCATCACAACTGGGGAGAAGCTTTGGATTCATTCACACTTCCAACTTCTGGGGAAAAAAAAATGCATTGGGAAACATTTGGGGGATGAAAGCCCCCAGGTCACCCGTTTCACTCCTGTTGCAGGAGAGCTGAAGGCACTGGTGTGGTGGAGGTGGATCCCGTGATGGAGAAGGAAAGGGAAGGGTCACAGCTGAGCCTGGGACACGCAGGAACCGGGAACCTGCGCCAGCAGAGAGGTCAGAGAGGGTCTTCCCTGCAGCTCCCCCCAGAGCAAGAGGCCACCACCTTTCTGGGACAGCTGGGAGTCTCCCTGAGCAGCAGGAACTGGCACCACCCAGGGACACGAGGGCCAGGCGGGCAAAGGGCACAGCCAGGTGTGGTGAGAGGCAGCCATGGAGGGGTAGGTCCTGCCAGCCCAGAGGGCACAGGGGGTGGGCACGGTGGGTGCTGGGGGTCAGGGGGGAGTGGGGGTGGCACAGGAACTGGGTGCAGGGTGCAGGGCAGCACCGGCCACACGGCTCTTGCCACTGTGTCTCCTCTGCTTCAGCCCGAGGCTCTGCAGCATCGCCGTCCTGCTGGGCACTGCCCTCCTGCTGCTGGCACCCAGCAGCACCCAGGTGAGCCCCCCCTCTGCCTCGCCCTCCTGCTGGCCCCTCTGATGAGCAGGCCCACCCATGACCAATGCCACCCCCCTCTCTCCCTGCAGGCTCTGAGCAGCTCCGGGCGAAAGGGCCTGCCCACGGACCGGGATTTGGACAAGGAAATGTAAGAGCTGGATGTGCTCCCCGCACCTTCAGGCTTGTAAAAGCCAGCAGAGCAACACCCCAAAATGGAAAGCGTTTCAGGGGGAAATAAATTCCCCTTGGGCTTTGTGCCCTTTCAAAATTAAGAGGCTCCCAGCTCCACCTTCCCCCCCATATTGCTCAAACTCCCCAGGCATCTAGCCCCAGCTGGTTTCCCTATTCCTTTGTCCAAATTAGCCCATTTGCTGCCCAAGACACTAATTTCTGCTTCCTGGAGTGGAGGGAAATCTTGCCAGGGTCCCTGCCCTCCGATAAGGTGGAATTCCCTGGGGCAGGGTGGTATTTAGCAACCTTTCCTCACTGATTTTGCTCCCCTCTTCCAGCATCCCGGGTGTGGATGTGCTGGAGGAGTGTGAGCTCCCTGAAGAGGTGAAACCAGGTAGAAAGGCCGTGTCCAGAAGGGCCTGGCACCTCCCACAAGTCCAGGCAGAGCCAGAGGAGGATCGAGACCACCTCCGCCACCCCCAGCATGATGCCAGGGAAATGGATGTCCGTGAGCCACCTCGGATGCTGTCCCTGCCGGTCCAGAATGGCCCAGAGGAGGACCGCGACCATCTGTACCACAGCTGAGTGCAGATGTGCCCAGGCTGTGAACTGAGGGGTGGGAGCCACCCCTGGGGCTTCCTGGGGGGAGTCATCCCTCCCTACCCACCCTTGAGCCCACCCTGCAGCCAATAAACCCACTCCCCTCTCCATGTCCTGGTGGGCTCCTCATTGCTGCCAGAAACCTGCTGCTAAGTACAGGGCCCTACACCTGAGGGATCCCCCTCCTTGGGATCGCCCCAAGACCCCGAGCAGGGTGAGGATGATGCCCTGGGATGGGTGCCTCAGTGCCACAGGCTGTCCCCCTCCTGGGGGACACACGGACTTCCACGAGTCTGCTCTTGCCCAGTCCAGCGTCAGAGAGCAGTGTGACAGAGTGGGGGGTCTCAATGAACCCAAACCTTCCCCAGCTGAGGCAGGACCTCAGAGAAGGACACCCCATGTCCCGGCAGCACCTAGAAAATGTTTTAATAGCAAAGGCAGAGGTGGTCCCCACTGCTGGTTGTCACCCCAAGCATCGCTTGCCGATGGGTCCCGGTCCCCTCCACGGGGTAAGGCAGAGGGCAGATGGGCAGCAGGTGGCTGTGGGGACCTGCGCCACTCTGGGGATTTGCACATTCCTAGGGGCCTGCACATCCCCAGGGACCTGCAGCTCCTCAGGGACCTGCAGCTCCTCAGGCTCAGCTGTCGGTGAATTTTGCCTTGCGCTTCTCCACGAAGGCTGTCATCCCCTCCTTGCGGTCATCCTGGGAGGAGCAGAGAGGTGAGGTTTGGGGGGCTGTGGCAGCCCCACTATCCCCCCACAATGGGGCCAATCCCCTGGCCTTGGGGCAGATCCCTCTACTTACGGTGGCAAAGGTGGCGTAAAAGAGACGCTTCTCTGTCCTGTTCCCCTCTGTCAGCGTCGTCTCAAAAGCTGAGAGCAAGGGAGAAGTTGGGGAGACCCCTCTGGCCCTGCAGCCCCCCCAGGGGGTTCCCAATTGGCCCCCCAGTCCCTACCAGCGTTGACCGACTCCTTGGCCATGGCGGCCACCAGCTTGGAGTTGCTGGCGATCTTCTCAGCGCAGGCGATGGCCGCGTCCAGCAGCTTCTCCACGGGGAACACCTTGCTGACCAGACCTAGGATGGGCAGTGGGAAGTGGGGGGATGGCTCCCTGCTGGCCCCCTGCAGTGCCAGGGCTGGCCCATGCCCCTACCTGCCTCCTTGGCCTCCGCTGCCGAGATCCGGTCCCCGGTGAGCACCATCTCCATGGCCAGCGACTTCCCCACTGCCCTGGTGAGCCTCTGCGTCCCGCCGGCACCTGGATGCATTTTGGGAAGGGGAAGGTCCAGAGAGGGATAGCTGGGTGTCCCCACTCCAGCCGGGATGGAATCCCCTGGCCGGTGACCGCTGCTCACCTGGGATGGTTCCCAGCAGGATTTCGGGCTGCCCGAACTGCGCCTTCTCCCCGGCGTAGATGATGTCGCACATCATGGCCAGCTCGCACCCGCCACCCAGCTGGGACAGGGGAGGCACAGCGGGGTCAGGGGGTAGCACTGGGGGGTCAGGGGGTACAGGGAGAGGTGGGGGGCACTCACGGCATAGCCGTTGACAGCGGCGATGATGGGTTTGCGGACGACGGAGACCTTGTCCCACCCGCCCAGGAAGCCGCCGTTGTAGCACTCCTGGAAGGTTTTATTCTGCATCTCCTTGATGTCTGCGCCAGCTGCAAAGGGAAGAGGGCTGGGACACCAACTCCCCCTGCTTCCCCAAAATTTTGGGGTGGGGAGAGGCCCCGCCCTACCTGCGAAGGCTTTCTGGCTGCCGGTGAGGACGATGGCTCCCACCTGCGGGTCACTCTCCATGGCCTCCAGCGCCTGCCGCAGCTCGGCCATCAGCCCCTCGCAGAGCGCGTTCAGCGCCTGTGGCCGGTTCAGCTGGATCAGCCCCACGTTCTTCTGCGCCCCCGTCTTCTGCACCAACAGGTACTGGAAGGTGGACCCTGCCGCCGCCCCGGCACCGACCCGTGAGCCCACCGGCTGCCGGGCGCGGGGTGAGACCCCTGACAACCCCCGGCAAGCTCCGGCCACCGCCCTGCGCTATTTTTAAGGCGACCTTCACGCCAGCGGTCAGCGGCAGCCGGCGGGACGTCGCCGCGGGGCTCGGCTCGGGGGAGCTGCCGGTGTCACCGTGCCCCGGGCAGGTGCAGCCCCGGGACCACCCCGTGCCGGGACGGCGAGCCACCTGCACCGGGGCATGGCGCAGGCACCCCGGGACCTGCCGCACGGCCCAGGCACAGCGCGCCCGGTGTAGGGACCGTACACGGAGCAGGGACCTTGTCCTGGTGCGCAGCCCAGGGACCACGAGGAAGTTGCTGGGCACACCGCCCGGTGCTGGGACCGAGCCAGGTGAAGGGACTCGGTGCTCACCGCCACCCCTGGCCCAGCCCACCCTCCCCTCAGCCCCCGGAGCCCTCCCCGTGCCCCGGTGCTCACCAGCGCTGCAGCCCCGGGTGCCGGCGGGGTTGCGGAGCGGCGGCGGGGGCCGCGCCCGGGGCAGCGCGGTGGCGGCGGGCCGGAGGAGCGCTCGCAGCGCGGCGGCCATGGCGGAGCGCGGCGGAGCGGCCCCGCCCACCGCAGCGACCACGCCCTCCCGCCACCGCCCATTGGCCGAGGCGGCCCCGCCCCGCCGCTCGCCATCCCCATTGGCTGCGGCGCGGCCGCGGGGCGGGGCCGGGACCCCCGGTAGCGCTGAGGGGGCGCCGGGCCCGCCCCCAGCCCGGCCCGCGGGGGGTCCCGCCGGCAGCGCCGCCGAGCCGGGGGGACCGCGGGATTAGCGGGGCTTAGAGCGCCGCGGGGGAGAGCAGGGGGATTCTCTGCCGCCCCCGCGCGTGGGGTGGGGTGTGCGGGGGGGCGCGGCGGGAGCGCGGCGGCGGCGGCGGGAGCGCGACCGGGGAGGAGCGGAGCGGAGCGGAACGAGCCGGCGGTGCCCCGGACCCGGTGAGTATCCCGGGTGGGGAAGGCGTGGGGGGTGAGTGTGCCCCGCGGCGGCGTGTGCGCGGGTGTGCGGGAGCATCATCCACAGGGCTGTGCGGGAATGTGCGGGAGCATCATGCACACGGTGTGCGAGACCGTAGGGGAACATCATCCACGGGGCTGTGCGGGGCTGTACAGGAACATAATCCACAAGGGTGTGCGCGGATGTGCGGGAGCATCATCCACAGGGGCGTGCGGGAATGTAAAGGAACATCATCCACATGGCTGTGCGGGAGAATCGTCCACGGGGACGTGCGAGAATGCAAAGGAACATCATCCGCACGAGTGTGCGGGACCATCATCCACACGGGTGTGCGGGAATTTGTGGGACCGTCATCCGCAGGGGCGTGCGCGGGTGTGCGGGAGCATCATCCCTAACGAGCGTGCGGGAATGTGCAGGAGCATCATCCACACGGGCGTGCGGGGATGTGCGTGTCCGGGCGCGCGCGGGAGCACCACCCGCGCGGGCCGCGAGGGGAGCATCCCCCACGCGGGCGTGCGGGAGCGCGCGTGGCTGCGTGTGCAGGAGCATGTGCAGGAGCATCACCCACCCGGGCGGGGGGGAGCGCGTTTATGCAACCCGTGCGCGGCCGCGTGTGCGGTGACACGGGCGTGCGCGGCCCCGGCACCCGCGGGAGCGAGGCGCGGCCGCGCGCGGCCCCCCCCGGGCGCGGCTGAGCGGCGGGGCTCTGCCTCCATCGCTCCCTCCGTCCCTGCGGCAGGTGCGGGATGCGGCGGAGCGCGGCGGCGTGCTGGGCGCTGGTGCTGCTGGCCGCCGCCTTCTGCGACACGGCGGCGGGCAAGGGCGGGCGCGGCGGCGCCCGGGGGGCGGCCCGCGGAGCGGCGCGGGGGGCGGCCCGCTCCCGGCCCAGGGCGGCCGTGCCCCGGTACGGCTCTGCCGGGGCCGCCCTGCGCGTGGCCGGGGCGGCGGCGGCGGGGGCGGCGGCCGGCGTGGCGGCGGGGGCGGCCCTGCGCCGGGCGCGGCTCTCCGGGGAGCTGCAGGCGGGGGACGGCGTCGAGTACCGCGACGGCAACTGGACGGCGGCCGCCAGCGCCTGGACCTCCGGCGCGCCCGCCGGGACCGCGCCGGGCCGGGCGCTGCCCTGGCTCTGCCCGCTGGCCGCGCTCCTCCGCCGCTGATGGACACCGGGGACCCCACCGTGCCCGGAGCACCCAGGACGCCGCGAGGACCCGCAGCCCCACCGGGGGCTAAGCCCCGCGCCCCGGGATAGCAGCAGCTCCTGGGGCTGCGCCCACTCACCGCCAGCGGGGCAGGACCCCCGCGGGAGCCCCTCCACCACCTCCCCCCCACGCCGTGCCAAACCCCGCCGGCTCGGGCACCCCTTTGCACCGCGCCTCTGTCCCTGGCCTCGCGAGGACGAGGAGGCGACAATAAAGCTGGACGAAAGCAGGTGTGGCTGCATGCGGGATGGGGGGCTCCGGGCGAGACCTTGGGATGGCCACCGCCTGGCCCCCGCCCACACAGGCTTTATTTTGAGGTCCCTGAGCAGGCCAAGACTACAGCACAAAGAAACGGCTTCCCAGGGATTTTGTCCCAGCTGGAGGCACCAGCCCTGCCTCTGGGATGGGCACACCACAGGGCAGCCTCAGCTGCCACCGTGGGCATCTTGTCCCTCTGGCCCCTTGCCAGGAACCAGGAGCTGCCCTGGCAGAGCCCCTTCAGTCACACACCAGAGTTCCCTGCTGAGGTGGCACTGGGGTGTTCTCTGCCCACATGGCTGCAGGCAGTGCCTCTCCCCCTCAGGACAGGTCTCAGTCCAGTGTCACCCTGCCCAGGTGTCCCGCTCGGAAGTCCCGCAGGAACTCATAGGCGGCGGCCGTGTAGTTGAGCATCGTCACGTTGACGTTCCCTGGAGATGGCAGTGGGTGCAGAAGGAGGGGCAGCAGGGACCCCCAGACTCCCAGCCCCTGTGCCCCAGAGCCCCCCAGGCACTCACCTGTGCCCGTCAGCACCTTCACCTTCTGCGTGCGGCCCTGGGCGAGGGCCACGCGCTTCAGCACGGACTCGATGTGGTCACAGGGCTCGCCCAGCCCGTAGCGCTGCACGTACCTGCCGGAGGGACGGCTCACACGTCACACTCTCCACAGCATTCCCTGGGGGTGGTGGCTCCACAGCCCTCCCAGGACCCCTCCCTGGCTCCCCCTCCCCCACCTCACCCGAATTGCTGCTGCTTGTTCAGGGTGTACAGCAGGTAGTCGGCCATGACGTCCTCCCCCACCATGTGGTCATGGATGGCTCCTGGAAAAGAGGGTCAAGCCCCAGTTCCCTCCAGCCCTTGCTGAGCCCTGGCCAAGCCTCTGGCCATCCCCGTGGCACCCAGGGGTCCTGAGCAGCAGACTCCAACCCCAGCCTCAGGCACTCCCCCCAGCCACGGCCTCCACCTCACCACACAGTGCCAGCTTCATGCCCGTCTCCACATCCCCCAGCTTCGGGGGCAGCACGCCAGGGGTGTCCACCAGGTACATCAGGGGCTTCTCACAGACCTGGGGGAGGCAGGGCTGGTAATCAGCACCACGGACTCCCACACGGCTAACGAGCTTGCATTAAGGTCCTGCTGGAAAGGGGACCTGAGCAGCCCTGAGATCAGCTCTGCGGGCACTGAGGTCTCTCCAGGATGTGGGAGGCAGAGCCCACTCAGCCGCTGCGCTGCAGGGACAGTACCTGGATCCTGTTCAGCACTGCCTTGGTGACTCCTGGCTCGGCCCCCACCACCGTGGCTTTCCCTGGTGGAAAAGAAGACATGGTCATGGAAGCAAGAGACACTGTGCCCCACCTCCTCCCCGAGCCCCAGCACCCCAGAGAAATACCCTTCTTGAGGTGTAGCCTCCGCAGGGAGTTGATGAGCGAGGATTTGCCCATGTTGGGCACGCCGATCACCAGGATGTTGAACTCCGAGCTCTGGAAGCCAGGGAAACATGAGCAAGGGGCACTGGTTATCAGCCACCCACCCCAGCAGCGAGGGGCAGCAGCCACAGCCAACCCCCTCAGTGTTTGCTGGCACTTCTGGCACATGTGGGAGCTGCCTTGTCCCTTGGCTGGAGAGGGAGGTGACCCTCCCTCTGCTCTGCACTGGGGTGGCCTCACCTCGAGCACTGGGGGCAGTTTGGGGAAAAAAGATTTAAAGATTTAGAAGAGTGTGTCCAAAGGAGGGATATGGGAATGGGGAAGGGCCTGGAGGGGCCACATAAGTCAGGGCTGAGGGCACTTGGTCGGTTCAGCTGGAGGAGATTGAGGTCAGACCTCATTGGGGTGTGCAGCTTCTCTCTTGTGACCAGTGACAGGACCCGAGGGAATGGCTGGAGCTGTGTCAGGGGAGGGTTAGGCTGGATCTCAGGAAAAGGTTCTTCCCCCAGAGGGTGGTTGGGCACTGAACAGGCTCCCCAGGGCAGCGGGCACAGCCCCAAGGCTGCCAGAGCTCAAGGAGTGTTTCGGACAAGGCTCTCAGGGACAGGGTGGGATTGTTGGGGTGTCCTGGGCAGGGCCAGGAGTTGGACTGGATGATCCCTGGGAGTCCCCTCCAGCTCAGGATATTCTGTGACTGTGTCTCACCTCGGCCCTATGGTAGCGTGGGCCCTCGGACACCAGCCGGGCAACCAGGGGGACGATCTGAGGGAAACAGGGACAGGGGCTGGCACCCTGCAGCAGCCACAGACACTCTGCCAGGGGGCTGAACAGAGGACTGGGACAGCTGGAAAAGAGGATCACGCTCGAGCAGCCACCTGGGAGGGCCCTGAAGGCTGGGAGCTCACCAGGGAGCAGGGCTGGGCTGCAGCCCCGTTACCTTCTTGACACCGACATCGCGCTGGCAGTCGGTGAACACCACCTGTGGGCATCCCTTCTCCTTCAGCCGCTCCAACATCGCCTGCAGGGCACGGGAAGAGGCTCTGCTGTCACCTCCCTGTGCCACCACCGCTGCCCCCCAACCAGCCCAGCCCAGCCCAGCCCTGCCCTGGTTCTCACTGGCTGCCGGCGGGGATCAGCCAGGTCCATCTTGTTCAGCACCAGGATGTGCGGGCGGATGCCCAGCACCTCCTTCAGCGCAGGGTTACGGCCCGACAGCGGGATGTGGCAGCGCTAAGGAGAGCAACTGGAAACAGCCATGGGAGAGGGGGAAGACATGCTCTGAAGGGAGAAGAGGTGGCTGGAGAGGGAGATGGGGTGGGCTGGAAGGAAAAGGGTTGGCTGGAGAGGGAGATAGGGTGGGCTGGAAGGAAAAGGGGTGGCTGGAGAGGAAGGATTGCTCTGGAGGGAGAAGGGGTGGTCTTGAGGGAAAAGGGGTGGCTGGAGAAGGAGTGGTCTGGAGAGGGATGAGGGGTGCTCTGGAGGCAGAAGGGGTGGTCTGGAGAGGGAGAAGGGGTGGTCTGGAGAGGGACGTGGGGTGGTCTGCAGAGGGACGAGGGGTGGTCTGGAGAGGGACGAGGGGTGGCTGGAGAGGGACGAGGGGTGGTCTGGAGAGGGACGAGGGGTGGTCTGGAGAGGGATGAGGAGTGCTCTGGAGAGGGATGAGGACTACTCTGGAGGGAGAGAGGGTGGCTGGAGAGGGAGAAGGAAGGGGTGCTCTGAAGGGAGAAGTGGCCTGGAGAGGGAGAAGGAGTGGTCTGGAGCTGCAGAAGGGGTGGCTCTGGAGAGGGGCGAGGAGTGCTCTGGAGGACGAAGAGGTGGTCTCGACAGGGAAAGGGGTGGCTGGAGAGGAAGAACGGGTGGTTTGGAGGGAGAAGGGGTGGTCTGGAGGGAGAAGGGGTGTTCTGGAGAGGGACAAGCGAGGCAGAAGGGGGTGAGGGTGGTGTTTTGGTTTTTTTTTTGAGCAGCCCTGGAGGATATCCGAGCGTCGTGCACCTCCACCAGGCAGTCAGCGCGGCGCAGCGCCGCCTGCATCTGCCGCAGCCCTGCAAAAATAAAACACAACAAAACAGCGCCGGGGTGAGCTCGCCCCTGTGTTTTTTTGTGTGTGTGTGTGTGTGTGTGCAAGCTCAACCCACCACCCACCATCCCCCTCCTCACCTTTCGCCATGTGCCGCGGGAACCAAGAAGCCACATCGCGGCCGCCGAAGTCGAAGCGCTCCCGGAACGCCCCGGCCGCCCTCAGCGCCCCTGCACACACCCTCATGGCCTCGGCGGCGTCACCTCCGGCGGCGACACGGGAAGGGGCGGCACTCGCAGCCATGGCGGAGCCGCAGCCTCAAGGGGGACCGGGGGGCTCGGCGGCATCCCCCGGCGGCACCGGGGGTGCCGGGGCCAGCGGGGGGCACTCCGTGCCCCCTGCTGGCCCCGGCACCCCCGGTGCCGCCGGTTCTGCTCCTCAACCCGGTGCCGCCGCCCTCCTCAGCCCGCCCCTCAGCCCGCCCCGCAGCCCGGCCCGGCGCAGGACCCGCTGGACGACCCGCGCTACACCATCTCCAGCACCAACTGGTATTAAAAAAACCCCAACACCCGCAGCCCCCTTCACGGAGAGGAGGAACAGGAGGAGGATTGGAAGAAAACACACCCCCCCCCCAGCCGCGGCGGCGCTGGCTTCTTAATAAAAAGGAGGCCGAGGGGCACTTGCCAAAGCAAGTTTATTTGGCCGCCCCTCATGGCTGAGGAGGAGGAGGAGGAGGGATGGGAGGCTGGAGGAGGTGGTTGAGCCGCTCGGCCTCCCGCCAGCCCGAGAGCAGCGCGCCGTGGGTGGTGGAGTAGAAGGTGCGGTGCGTGGCCTCGCCGGCGAAGAGGAGCTGCAGGGGCTGCGGGGAGAAGCGGGGGTGGGTAGGTGAGGTTGAGCCGTGACATCCCGGCCTCGCCTTTCCCCCCTCGCCATCAGCGCCGAGGCACCGGGGAGCGGGCGCTCTGCCTTCTCCCAGGCGCCGCGCCCTCAAATTTTTAGGGAAGCGAGGGGTGTTGCCCCCACCGTCGTGGGTGACACCCCACTCCACCCCTACCCCAAAAGGGTGAGAGCGGTGCCGCCTTCCCTGCGCTGCTGGAGGTGCCCCTGTCCTCACGTCCCGCTGCACCTCCTCTCCCTCTGCATCCTCACCCGGGGGTCCTGGGGGTCCTCGGGCAGGGGCTGTGCCAGCACGTCGATGTCGTCCCCGGAGCTGCCGACGGCCACGTAGCTGTAGGACCCGCGGGTGTAGGGAGCGCTGTGCCAGCGGGACCGGAGCACGCTCCTGGGGGCCGGCAGGCTGGGGTTCCCTGCGGGCAGGGCATTCGGGGTGGGATCCCGAGAATCCGCCGGGGGTTGGGGCGGGCGGGGAGGGGCGGGGGAGGCACCTGTGAGCCTGCGGAGGAGGCGGGTCATGGCGCTGAGCACCTCGGCGTCGCTCAGCGTCTCCATGTGCTCCGACTCCTTCCCGGCGATGAAGCCGCAGAGGACGTGCCCGTGCCTGGGCAGGGGACATTGGAGCTCAGAGGCGCTGCTCGCTGGGGCTGCGATGCCCTCCCTGCCCCAACCTCACGGGTCACACCAGCCACCCAGAGCAGGCCTGGGAGATGCCCCAAATCCCCCTCACGTACTGCTCCGGGGGCTGGAGGACCACGAATCCGATGAGCTTCTTGAACCAGTTGGCCTCCAGGTCGGCGCTGGGCTCCTCCAGGGGCGACTCGTCCTCCCACACCACTTCCAGGAGCTGCTGCTCGGGTTCCCAGAAAGGCTGCTCGAACTCCAGGAAGATCTTGTTGTTGGTGCCAAAGCCCAGGCGCTGAATGGCCTCCACTTTGCGCTCGGGAAGTGGAGGCTGGAAGAATTCCTGGTGGTGTTCTTTGAGGAAACCTGCAGGCACAAGATCGGGCAGGAGATCAAGCAGGAGATCAGGCAGCTCTCTGCCGGGCTCCTAAATGGGATCTGAGATACTCTGCCCTCCCCGAGTCCCTTCGCAGCCTCCCCTCTCCCATTGGAATTCTCGGCTGAGAGGCTGCGAAGGGGTTTGGGCAATCCCTCCCCTCCACCTGCCCATCTCCAACCCCGCCTGGTCGGAGGGAACAGGCAGGGCAAGGAAAAGGGTGGGTGCCCTCATGTCCTCACCCAGGGGGACAGTGACGATGACATGGTCGGCGAGAAAGGCGTCCCCATCCTCACACTCCACCCGGACGGGGAAATCCCTGGAATCGTCCCCTTCCTCGCGGAAGGACCCTCGCCACCGGATGGTCTTCACTGGCTTGTTGAGCAGGATGGTGCCCTCGGGCAGAGTCGAGACGAGGCGCTCGGACAAGCTGCTGTAGCCGCTGCGGGAGGAGGCGCTGCTGGGGACGGGATGGCCCCCGAGACGCTGCTCCGCGTCCCCTGCGGAGCCCCGCGCTTACCCTGGGAAGGTGCAGTCCAGGCCGGGCAGCGACACGTATTCCCCGAAGGGCTCCAGGGCCACCAGGTCCATGCTGTGGGTCCCGCTGATGCAGCACTCCAGCTTGAGGCAGGCGGCGAGCACGGCCAGCTGGAGCCGCCGGGCGTCCTCCACGCCCCCCGCCATCGTGGGGACCCTCCGGGCGATCTCTGCCCGCAGGTACTGGCCCACGCTGGGCGCCGGTGGCTCCTTGGACCCCTGGAAGGCGCGGGTGGAGGCCAGGAGGGCGTAGAAGAGATCGCGGGCTTCGCTCACCGCCTTAGGGCTCAGCACCCTCCCCGAGCTGCTGTAGGTGACGGAGGGCAGCGGGGGGTTTCCCCCCGCCTCTACCTGCTGGTTCTCCTCCAGGGCAGCCTCCGGGCCCAGCAGGCCGTACTGGGAGGCCAGGCGGAACACGGGGTTCCCCGGCGAGGGGCCGTGGATCCAGTGTGCCCCCATCTCCGCCAGCCCCGACGCTGCCGGGAGGGAGGGAGGGAGGGAGGGACAGGGGGTCACCCCGGGCCATGCGTGTGGCAGGACCCCCGACCCCATGTGCTCCCCAAACCATCCGGAGCCAGCGAACCCCTGCCCCAGCCCGCGCTGTGCCACCCGTGACGGGCTCCCGTTTGATCCCACTCCGGAGGAGTCCCGTGGGGTCGGGGGGGTCAGGTGCAGCTTCCCCATCCCGGTACAGCCGCCCCATCCCGGTGCCCCTGCCCCTCCCCATCCCGGGCCCGCCCCCGGGCCCGCCCATCCCGTGTTCCCGGTTCCTCCCCGGGCCCCCCCGGCCGTACCGAAGGGGCGGGTGCAGACGCGGCCCCCGGCCCGGGCCGCCGCCTCCAGCAGGCGCAGGGAGCCGTGCCCGCGGAGCCGCTGCGCCGCCCCCAGCCCCGCCAGCCCCGCGCCCACCGCCACCACCCGCCGCCCGCCGCCCTCCATGGCCTCCGGACCCGCCGGCACCGCCCCCGCCGCCGGCACCGCCCGCTGCCCAGCGCACCGCCCCCGGGAGCCGCCGAGAGGGAGGGAGCGAGGGGCGGGAGGAGGGAGGGATGGAGGGAAGGCTGGATCGACTGATGGATGGATACCCGCGGGTCCTGGTGCAGCGATGAACCAACTGCCTGCGCCCATGGAGGGTGGGAGAAGGCTGCCGTGGGAAAGGGGACCCCCTCCTGCCGTGGGGGCAGCCCCGAGACCACTTCTCCACCCTCCTCCCTCTCCCGATCTCGCACCTGTAGCCACCTTATGCCACTCATCCCGCATATGGCCACTCATCCTGGCCATACACATCTCAGCAGCTCCGGGCAGAGCTGCCCCCGGTGGTCCCACTCACCTGGGATTTCCAAACCCCTATGGGCACAATAAAGCTCTCTATCCTCAAGGCTGGCCTATGTTTTGTTTTGCCAGCGAACATTCCTGGTGCCTGCCCCCCCGGCAGTGGTGAGGTACCGGGGTGCTCCCAGGGGACCCCCAGAGCACTGTGCCACCTGGCCACTGCCAGCTGGGTCATCCCACCACATTCCTGCTGGTCTGGCAGCCCCCTGGAAAATGTTCACATGCAAGGAAGAGCCGGGGGTGTCAGAGCTGCCATGCAGGCTCCTGAAATCCCCTTTGAGCATTTATTTTGGAGGGATTTTCCCCCAGCCTTGTTTTTGCAGCAAGCAGCAGGATAGGAATGTGTGGTGGAGGCCTTGCACTGCCTTGGAACATCAGCCTGGCAGCAGCTTCCTGCAGTGACAGTGGCTCTGCAACCCAGCCCCAGCCCAGGACGTTTGGGGTCACCAGCTCTCGGGGATGGAGGGCAGGCATTCCCAGAGTGTTAGTGCTGATGACACAGGGACAGCCAGACAGCCATTCCTGGGGGCCTCTGGCCACTAAACAATGCAGGTAAGTGCCTGACTTGCCCCAGCAGAGCCCTGAAGCCCCCCTAGATGGAGACCTTCCAATTCCCTGAGGAACTGTCTAGGGGAAGAAGGGTTCCCCACGTTCAACCTGAACCCCCCTGGGCTGCGATCTGGCACCAAGCCCCCTCATTGCCACTGAGAAAGGTTTGGTCTCATCCTTCCCTTCGCTTCCTTTCTGTGCCATGGTTGGGGGCTGCTCTCACAGCTAGACTCTACAGGCCCAGCTCCCTCCCATCTCCTCGTGGGTTGGATGCTCTAATGTGCAGCCTGGGCAGCCACAGCGGAGTCGTGGCAGGGTCCCAGGATCACCACCATCACCTTGGGGCCCTTCCAGCAGGGTTGGTGGCTCCTGCCCACCCTGACACCTCGGCTGACCCCTGTGGTGCCCTGTCTGCACCATGCCACCGGTCCTTGAGGAGCTCTCAAGCAAGGAGGACAAACCCCGACGACCAAGGGATGCGTGGGAAGCACCATCACCACAAGCATGGCAGGCCGGCAGGAAGGAGGGGACAGCAGGGACTGTCCCAGCAGGGACTGTCCCACCACATCCTGGGGCTGTCCTAGCTGAGGGAGAGGGACCAGGCCACCAGCACCTCCCTGGGAGCCACCACTCTACTGGGAGCCCTCCATCAGCTCCAGGATGCTGCTGTAGAGGCGCCCGGGAGCATCCAAGCCCCAGACGAAGTCCCAGTGGTTCCAGTCGGCGATGTGGGTGTAGGAGATGAGGTGGGCGATGCGGGGCAGCAGCAGGCGGACATCCCTCCAGTCAGCTGCCCAGTCCTCCCCTCCCGACCACACCGCCGTGGGCACCGGCATCTCCTCCACCTGGTAGAAGGGTGGTGTATCCTGCAGGGACACAGGGAGCTCTGAGGAATGGCTGTCAGGGTCAAGCTCTGCAAGGCAACCCACCCCTGCACCACCCCTGGCATCTCCAGCTGCCAGCACTGCCCCTGCAGCCTCCTACCTGGTGGTACACGGCTGTGTTTTTGCTGCCATAGTCAAAGGCTTTGAATTCTCCTGATTTCACCACCTGGGAGGAGAGGGGAGATCTGCTGTGGGAGGCCAGCAAGTGCCACTGTGTGGGTCTGGCACCTCCCAGCCTCCTTGAAGGCCCACATCGTGAGAGAGTGCTTGGAAGGGGTTTGGGCAAGCCCCTGCCCTCCCCTTGCCCATCTCCAACCACGCCAGCTGGTTGGGGACAGACAGGACAAGGAAAGGTGTCAGTGTCCTCACCCATGGCATGTTGCAGGAAGAGGTGGCATCCCTGCAAAGCCAGATTTTCCACCCTTTTAAACAGGGCGATGCTTGGCCTCCTGCTCCATTTCTGTCCCTAGTATGGTTTGGCAAACCGAGGTGTTGAACATGACTCCTTGGCTGCCCTGGTGCCACACTCTGAAAACCTGCTCATCGCCAGCTGGGTGTGCAGGATGCTGCTGGATTTCCTTTAACAACCTGATCATCCTTTTATGCCTTCCCTGTGGCCTATAATTTGGCCCTGCAAGGAGGCACAAGGGTGGGGGTCCCCAGCCTGACCCTGTTTCCAGCAGGGCCAACACTGCAGCTGCAGCAGGACTGGCAGAGCCCAGGCTTGGGGTGTCCAGGACCCCTTTGGGCAGGGGGAGATGCTCTTGGGTCCCCCTTTACCTCCTTGTCCAGGTCTCCCAGGCTCTCCTTGTACAGCCTGGTTTCCACCCACCAACACCAAGGTGTCCCTAGGCTTGCTCTGCTTTGGGGATCCCTGAGGGCCCCAAACTGTGGAGTCCCCTTGTCCTGTCTGGCACAGTCCAGGGAGCAGAGCCTGGTGTCACTTTGTCCCCACAGGGCAGCTCATCCTGCATCCAGCACCTCTCCTGTATGCCTTTATTTTCTCAGGATCTACCGATATCCAAGATCCCTGAACTCTCACAGCTGCCCTGGACACACCAGACTGCCCATGAAGGGACCATCCCAGGGCTGAAGCATCTCTCTTTCGGGGAACCTACCTGGGCCCAGTGGATTATGTTTTTGACAGAGGTCCCATCCGGATAGTGGGATGTGTACACATCCAGCCGTGTCTGCAAGGAAAAACATCCAAAGCTGTCATTGCTTTCCAGCGGAAGGGAGCGAGGGCAGCACTGCCAGATGATGTGTTTCCCAAAGCAGCCACTGCTGAGTTATGCTGCCTGGAGAGCTGGGTCAGGTTTAGGAGCATGATTTTCATTAAAAACCCACTGCTCTAGGACAGCACCAGCAGGAGGATGATGAGGATGAAGGATGAGGTATCCCTGGCTCCGTGAGGTACCTTATCTGAGCTCAGGGACAGAATCACAGGATGAATTAGGTTGGAAAAGACCACTGAGATCATCAAGTCCAACCTGTGACCCAACACCACCTTGTCCCTCAGCCCAGAGCACTGAGTGCCACGTCCAGTCATTCCTTGAACACCTCTGGGAATGGGGATTGCCCCACCTCCCTGAGCAGCCCCTGTCAATATCTAATTTCCCTGTCTGTGAAAAAATTCATCCTAATGTTCAACCTGACCCTCCCCTGGCACAGCTGGAGGCCGTTCCCTCTCCTCCTGTCCCTCGTTCCCTGGAAGCAGAGCCCGACTTCCCCCCGGCTCCCCCCTCCTGTCAGGGAGTTGCAGAGCCAGAAGGTCCTCCCTGAGCCCCCTTTTCTCCAGGCTGATCTCCCCCAGCTCCCTCAGCTGCTCCTCATAGGACTGTGCTCAAGACCTCAGGGACTACCCGTGGTCACCCAGATGCTGCTTCAGCACACTTGGTGTGGGTGGGGAGGAGTGGGGGCTGCACCCCAGGGGTACAGGGGTGGCCGCAGGGACAGGCAGCCCTAACCCAGAGGTGTTATCAACTGCCACCTGGCCACTGACATTCACCCAGTAGAGCCTGGGGACTTTTCCTACCCTGTGAGAAGAAGGGAGAGAGGGATCTGGCTCCCTCATCCCCACCCGGCATGGCACACCCACCATGTTGAGGTTCTTCTCGTTGAAGCCACCCAGCAGAAAGAGGAGGTTGGCACAGGGCTTGTGCAGCAGTGTGTGCGTGCACAGCTGGGGCAGGAACCTCCACACCCTCCTCATCCGCAGGGTTGCGTCCGTCCTGCCGAGCAGCAGCTGTGGGAGCAAAGGGCAAGGTGGATTTCCTGCATTTCCCTTCCTGCCCTCCTGCCGTGAGGAGGCTCGTACAGCTCATTGCAGGAGGCGATGCCGATGGAACAGAGAAATAAAGATTCAGGACTCTCCTCTTTCCCCCCACCTCCCCCAAGTGTTGGATCTGTTTTCCACTGTCATTAAAAGCAACGTGGTGCAGCTGCTCTTTTCCACGTGTTTTGTCCAGGAATTCAACAAGTTTCATCCTCCAGATGGAAGACGTGGACTCAGCTAAGTGACCATCCAGGACTGCATCTGCACCTGAATTGTGTCAGTAAATCAGCAGTAAGTAGCTGTTTTCTGCCACATGGGATGCTGTGTCTGCCCATGATCCCTTTCCTAGAACCTGTGAGTTTTGGGGCAGGAGGGCACGGAGCAATCCCTTACCGAAATCATCTTGAGATTCTTGTCCAGAAGTAAGGGTATTTTCATGAAGGGACTTCTGGTGTGATTGGCTGTCACCACAGGAGCCAGAGCAAAGAACATTTTGATTTTCTGAGCCAGTTCAGGCAAGGCTGAGAACGCAATGAACGCTGAGAAAACAGAAAAACCACCTGAGGCTTGGTCCACCTTTCTTCTGCCTTTGCTCAGACCCAGATCTGTTTAGCTGGCATTGTCTCCAGCTGGAATTCTGACACCTCTTCCCACCTTCCCGCTTATCATTAGTGCAAGAGAGGAGACAAGACCTTTATCCCTGTGGTTGGAAGCAGCTGACGAGGCACTTCAGTGGATGTTAAACCCACAAAGATGGACCTCTCTCTTTTCCTCTGGCAGACACCAAAATGAACTTTTTCAAGGCAATGTGATGTGGAACCCCCTGGAACTCACCGATGGTGCAGCCCTGGGAGTAGCCAACGTAGTAGAGCTGCTTCTGCCCAGTCTTCTGCAGCACA